CTTGGGGTCTTCTGTGTTACTGTGAAGGTCTGTGCCCTGATCCTAATAACTTCAATGGTACGTGTGAAGCAATGTCCAACTCTTTCTGCTTTAGTGCTGTGGAGCTCCTTTATGACCAGGAAACAGACCAATGGAAAGAGGAGCGCACTTACGGATGTCTTGGACAAGATGAGCTTGGGCTTATGCAGGTAAGTTGCGAACTAGATTATCAACCAGGATTATTTGGCCTTAAAAGTGATTTACATTGCTTCATCAGCTCAATCACTTGGACTGGATGGTAGAGTGACGGTCTTGCTTCATGCAGGTCGGCATTTAATCCCTAACAGTCCAAGTGGTTGGGCACCATTCCTTTCCCCCGTCCTATCCTAAATCTTTATCCTGATTCCTTCAGGATCAGGTTTTGATCCCTTCAAAGTACTACAGTAGTCATGATGGCTTGGCACTTTCTCCTGATAGTTCCCTTTCCCTACTTTGGTAAGCACTGGAACAAATTAGAACATTTTATACCACAGTATTATCAATATAGTTTGTACTATACTGTTCAGTACTTCTTTTGTTTATCAATTTTATTTTATCCTTCAGTGCCGGGCATACTTGATAGAGCACCATCGTCCCAAGAATATATCTTGCTGCAGAGAGTACGACAGGTGCAACGAGGGGTTATTGCCGCAGCTCTCGCCACAGAAACCCTCGGTTGCGCCGCCAAGAAATTTTCCAGAGAGCCTTCTGCTTGTCACTTTGCCTGTAGCCTTTGTTGCTGTACTGGCGCTGACAATGTCTGTCTGGTACAGGTGAGTTGCACCAATGTTAGCAGATGATAACTTGCTTTAGAAATGTTCCCCTTGGTGTCCATGGCTTTTGTCACCCTTGTTCTTTAGAACTACTGTACTTAAGTTAAACTTTTGTAGAACTTACAGCTGTTTGAAGTAAACTAGTAAAATCCCATACAATATAATTAACAGCTAATTGAAGCAAAAAATTTGTTATAATTGTCACTAAAGGAGCATACGGGGTGGTTAAAGGATAAACTAATTAAGAATGTAAAAGTCAGTCTTAGAACAACAGTTTGTCAAACGAGAAAGAAATTAAACAAATAAATAAACGCTAAAATAAATTACGAAGTACATATAACAGCGCATCCAGTCCTTAAAAGTTTTTCAGGTACAGTATATTGAACAAAGATTATGGAGAAACCCTGAGACATTGAAAACTATGACAGGTCAGGTTACTAGTAATGACAAAGGAATGGATGGTATTTTAAAGACGTACTATGTCCAAATTTTAGACATAGTATGTAATAATTAATATAATAATTAACACAATTATTAGTACTGTATAATTATTTGTCCTCTCTTTGAAAGGGAATAAACTTCAAAGCTGCTTCCCAGCATTTGTGGGGGAGAAAATCCATTACTATTGGTTTTCTTCTGATTTGTGTGTCCCATGGCACCTGTAGTAGACATTCTCATGTTCCCACCGCATTGAACAGCCTGGTTAATCCAGGCTCTTCAATGTGGTGGGAATTTTCCAACTCTAATTATAAGTGTACAGCCAGTTATGAATGAAGTTTTTTTTTTGAGTTAATGTATTAAAGTTTTTCTGTTAAGTTTTAATACTTTTGCTGTATATTTTGTCAAACTGGTATTTTTGTAAGCGTGTTGTCTTCCTTGAGCAGTAGCTTGTGAGAAACATTGCCCTACATTGTTATCAGCTCTGTGCTCTTCATTTCATCATTAGAATTGATACACCCTTTGTCTGTTTTCGTCATTTCTATACAGGTATCGGCAGCGGGAGTCCAATATACTTGTGTACAACAAGCCTATGGGGATTGTGATGGGACCAAGTGATACCCTGAGTGATCTCATTGAGCAGTCTTCTGGGTCAGGCTCTGGACTTCCTCTCTTGGTTAGTGTGTTTTATATTTTTTTGTTATCCTTGTGATATATAACAGTGTGCTCTGTTAATACAAACTTTATCTTTGCCATGTGCCATACTCTTGTGCTTTATTACTTTTAAACTGTTGATTATATTACAGTCCGGTACTTTGACAGAATTTGTAATCTCTTAAATAACTGAAATACAGTATTTGTATTATGAATTATATTTCATCATCTCTGTGATACTTTGATTCATCATCTTCATAAGCGTGAAGGTTGTATTAATTTTTAAGTTTTTGATATATGTACAGTACTGTAATAAATGCATGAGAGTATGTAACATTATTCGGTGTTTGAGCGTGCGTAAATAACTGAACTAGTGAATGAAAGTGCGAGTAATACGTTAGTAATGTACTATACAAAGTAATAAGGATGAGTGGAAAAAGTGTAAACTGCCCTCCAGTTTACTGATAAATGTAACAATTGGGTAAACAAGTGCACCTTATTGAATGGAACCAAAATATTGAACAGATGGATTTCCAACAACAGTGAGCCCTCCATAATTGTCTCCATATATAAAAAAAAAACAGACCCAGAGACACTTGAAGATGTTACACGATCAAAGACCATAATCACTCCAAACATCTACCACCTATGGGTTACTCATGCCCGTGCCACCTCTTGGGGTGGTCTTAATCTTCATTATATTCTTAACATATAATATAAATCTTAACAACAAAATCATTTATACAAGAAGAATTGTGTCCAGAAAGATTTGCTTTTTTTTTCCACCAAGCAGGTTTCAAATGCAGTTGACCTAGGGGGAGATTCACGAAGCAGGTACGTAAGTACCTACGAACGTGTACATTTTTCCTCGATCTTTGATGGCTTTGATTACATTTACTAAATAGTTTACAAGCATCAAAACTTCCCAATCAACTGTTGTTATTGTTATAAACAGCCTCCTGGTGCTTCGGAGCTCATTAACTGTTTAATACTGTACAGTAATTGTAAACAAAGCCGCCAAAGATTGAGAAAAGATGTACTATAGGTTCGTAAGTGCTTGCGTAACTGCTTCGTGAATCTGGTCCCTTGTTAGTAGTATCTTGAAAAATACAATTCCTCTGAGATCTACAAAGGTTTGGTGTGATTTTCTTAATTAGAAAATGTAACTTATTTGCGACTGTCATCAAACCATCTAAATATCTCTGGTTTCTGTGCTTAACCTCGGATCAAACTTTCAAGAAAGTTATCAGCTACCCCTACTAAGGCAAAATTTGTTAGGGGCATCTCTGTTCAGTTTTTTAAAAAGTTTCCACACTTGAGTTTCTTAGTGTATTCAAGTTTTGTTGAAGATCTATTTTCTAATAAATTTTATAATATCAAGTGTTGTTAAGTCAATTCACGAAGCCTTTATCCAACATATTAGTATGAGGTGTGTGCGTGTGTGTAACATTAGAATGGATATATTGATTATGGAGGAAAGTAGTGAACTTGTATAATGAGGCAGGACCATGAGAGCGAATAGTAATGATGAAAACATAAGAAAAAACAGGTATTGAAGGGTTTATTTACATGGGAGTGGTTGCTGGAGAAAAGAGGTTGTTTGTGTGTATATGAAATCTGGGCGAGTTGATCATGTTGATAGTTATGTTTGTAAATAAAGTCATATGTAAAGAGCTAATAAAGAGTTTTTGGGTTGAAAACTTTTGTTGTGTTTTTTAATTGTTGTATATTTGTTTATTCTGTGAAAGCCTATTACAAATTTTGTATAATACTAATGAAAGTAATATTTCAGGTCCAGCGCACCATAGCAAAACAGATACAGCTTGTGCAGAGCGTTGGTAAGGGTCGTTACGGTGAGGTGTGGCTCGGACGATGGAGGGGCGAGAGGGTTGCTGTCAAAGTGTTTTTTACTACTGATGAAGCATCCTGGTTTAGAGAGACAGAAATTTATCAGACAGTTTTATTAAGACATGAAAATATCTTAGGTAAGTTTACAGTGTTCAGTCTTATATTTTTGATTTGTGCATTCTTCTGCTTGTTGTGTATTATTCGTGGTATGTCATGAAGCGGTTGGGTAATACTGTGGATAATTACTGCAGTGTGTTCGTGCTCATTTGTTCGTGATTCTGTATAGTGTAAATAATGATGTAATAATAATATATATAATAATTTTTATTCAGGTTAAAGTACATACATAGAAAATGAGTTACAAACAAAATGTTGGATTTCTAGATAGGGCTAGTATATACTATGCCTAAAACCACTAATATGCACAGCATTTTGGGCAAGAAGTGGGGAAAAACTTAAAAACTAAGACTTCAAAATAATTGAGATCAAAAGCATGAATTGATCTGAAATAGGAAAAAAAAGGAATGATAATTAAAAGTTGAATGGAATAGCAGAAATTGCAACAGAACAGCACAAGTTGACTAAATAAACAGACTACAATTTTCTTCTTACATGGCAGTTTATACATGGCAGATATCAGCAGTTATACAAGTTAGTCATTACACATTAAAGTTTGAGAATAGCAAGACATTAGGTTAACATTTAGGGGGTAAGATAGGTTACATGGAGTTGATTAGGTAATTCTTAGTTTTTTCTTAAACTGGTTGAGAGAGGTACAGCTTTTGACATAATTGGGAAGGTCATTCCACATTCTGGGTCCCTTGATTTGCAGACTCTTGGAATATCAAATAGATATTTGTTTCTAGTGGCACCCATGGGTTTTGTTACAACTCTCTAGGAAGCAATTAAGGTCAAGTTTATCATTACAGTTCAAGAGTTTTATTAATATACAGTACACTTAAGAGGATGTGTAGTGACTTAATATCTAACATATTAAAAAATTAAGTAAGGGGGCCGAGTGCTGTTTGGGACCAGAGTTTGTTATTGTTCTAATAGATGATTTGTGTTAAGTAATTAGAGGACATAGATGATTTTGGGTAGTAGAACACATCATTAGCTATACGGCTAATATACTGATCCACACCAATAGGTATACAAACACCCAAAATGTTCTGAACTCTGTATTGCACACGGGGCGGGGTGCCGGGGCACCGGTGGCCGTGTGGACAGCACGCTGGACACGTAATCCTGTGGCCCGGGTTCGATTCCTGGCACAGGCAAGAAACAATGGGCAGAGTTTCTTTCACCCTATGCCCCTGTTACCTAGCAGTAAAATAGGTACCTGGGAGTTAGTCAGCTGTCATGGGCTGCTTCCTGGGGGTGGAGGCCTGGTCGAGGACTGGGGCCGCAGGTCCTCGACCTCAAACAGCCCTCATGAGACAACCATGAGCAGAGCAGCTTACTAAGAGGAAATCTTTCCAAGTCTAATACACAGATGTCACCATGCCACCAGATTAGTCCCAGAACTGAGAGGTATGAGCTATGAGGAAAGGCTATGGGAGCGAAACCTCACATCCCCTAGAAGACGGAAGAGTAAGAGGAGACATGATAACTACCTACATAATTCTCGGGGAATTGACAGGGTAGTCAAAGACAAACTATTTAGCGTGGGTGGAACACGAACAAGGGGGCACAGGTGGAAGCTTGGTACTCAAATGAGCCACAGAGACATTAGGAAGAATTATTTCAGTGTCAAAGTAGTTAACAAATGGAATGCATTAGGCAGTGATGTGGTGGAGGCAGACTTCGTACACAGTTTTAAATGTAGATTTGATGGAGCTCAATAGGCTCCAGAATCTGTACCCCAGTTGATTGACAGTTGAGAGGTGGTACCAAAGAGCCAAAACTCAACCCCTGCAAGCAAGCACAGCTAGATAAATATTCAGGAATCCTAAGGCAGAAGACGGCAAAGCTGCAGTTGAATTGTCGGAAATCTAGAGATTAAATGTTGAAACATAGCATTGCTGACAAGACCTGGAGATTGGTTCATACCTGTAGGACTTGCACCCAAAGATATGTTTGTGGTGAACTAAACTAGACTACTGTAGAAATCAGCCATGAGATAATTGTCTTCATACAGGACACGATAGTGCAAGGATTTAGGAGGACGTGCTTCTGGAAACTTTCCTTTTAAGACTAATCATAGCCGAGTTGATAGTGCTATGGCATCACACATGTGGGGTCTACGGTTCGAGACCCACACAGTCCAGGTGAATGGAACATAACCAGTCTGCCTAGAGGTCTGAAGATAATTATGTAAGGCCACAACAAAACAAGGTATGCCATTTTCAAGAACAGGCAGACCAAGTCCAAAACATGATAGGGACCCTTCTGAAGGAAAATTTTCATTTTTGGCCAAGAAGTTAACACTTTGAGGTTCCACAGACTGACTATCTCGTCACTCATTTTACTACTGAATGTGTTCCAACGACGCAGTACTGAGTCACTCATTAAAATATTTTAAAAAAATTTAAATTTTATCAGATCAATCTGGTAGTGGTTTTAAAATAAGCGCCTTTAGATTGCACACAATTTGATACCAAAATCAAAGATATAACATGAAACTTGATGTCCAAACACTTGAAATATTATAAATAGGCCTATGGTCCGAATATTAAAATATTTGTTAAAATTCTATTTATTGTCCTATTATCTTGGGACTAGTTTTAAAATGCGCGCCTTTTTATTGCGAACAATTTGATACCAAAATGAAAGATGTAACATAAATATTTATGTCAGAACACTGGAAAGTTATAAATAAATTTGTGATGATGAGCGTCCAGAATTAAAATACTGTATTTGTTAAAAATCCAGTTATTGCTCTATTATTCTGAGACTAGTTTTAAAATACTCGCCTTTTTATTGCGAACAATTTGATACCAAAACGAGCGACGTAGCACGAAATTTGATGTTATCAAATTGAACGAGTTGAACATTAGGTTGCAATGTACAAAATGGTGCTCGTTCACGGGTAACTTTAGGCTTTTCTGCGGGGAGGCACTCCAGCCTTTTGTACATTTTATTCATACACATCTGTAGGGAATTTAATTGCGAACACAATGATACCAAAATGAGTAACGTAGCACGAGAATTAAGGTAAAAAAATGGAACGAGAATGCACATGTTGCTGATTTTGTGCGTTTTTGCCGACTTTACGCTTTGCTGTTGGGAGTTACACTAGGCTTTTGGACATTATATTTATACACTCCTGTAGAGAATTTAATTGCGAACACAATGATACCAAAACGAGCGACGTAGCACGAGAATTAAGGTGAGAAAGCTGGAACGAGCATACACATTTGGGTGTCACCGCGCGCTTACTCGCACGGAGGGGCCACGTTCCCCCTGTCAACCGCGAGTTTCCACAGAGCGCGAAAGTGTAAGATTAACTCATCTCCCACAAACAAAATTGAAAGAAAATAGGCTCTGAAGGAGAGCATGCATTGCACTATTCCAGTTGCCCATGTCTAAATTATCATTGTTGAGGACAGGAAGCCGGTGTATATATATACTTTAGGTTTATATCAAGGTCTCCCTCTTTCAAGATAGTGACCTTTCTAAGGGTTTGTGGAACCCCCTGCTTTTCAAACCCCAGGGTGCAACCCCGCAACAGTTGCCTCTCATTTATCTATTTATTACTAGGTGAACAGAGCATAAAGTAAAAGGAAATGTGCCTAACCATTTCTGTTCTGCCTGGGAATCGAACCCAGGATCCTTGATTGTGAGTCGAGAACAAAGCGGTGTAATGAGATCCAATTAACAGTAAGATCCTCAAATAAAGTAATGACCCGAAGCCTGTCAACACAAAAGATGTCCAACAAGCCAATGAGGAACCAATGGTAAACGTGAAGGATATTTGTGAAAGATGGTGTTACCAGTGTAACGAACAACATAATGAGAGAAAGCAACTCGGATGATGACTGGCTGAGAACACTAAACCACTGGAGAGCCTGCCAGCGCACCACCATCTAGTGAAGCTTAACAAGTTAACAATGTTGTAGTGGAAAATTAAGATTAGATTCCAGATTATTTTTTTCTCAACAGTACATGATACTAAATGACAAAGTAACATCAATGAAGTTAATCGTCTCTGCGTGCAGTGATTCATTGGAGAATTATTAAGAGGTGGGATTAATTGGTTTGTGTGCACCTATCGTGTATAATTATTCACATTGCATGTACAGTTCCTCCCAATATCATTGATTGTGGTGTGCTTTACTTCTGCCCCACAGTTCAAGTATGTGGGCAACCAGACTACATAAACAGCCAAGCAGGTTGACAAGCAGGCATTTTTGTGCTGTCAGCAAGCTATTACAGTAACTTGGTAAACACGACTTGGTGCAAAGCTGCTCCCTCTGATGTATGATAGATTGTATCATTTTTAGGACTTATTTAAGAAGGGTTTCTCTCCAGTGTGACTCTGCTATTACAGTAACTTGGTAAACACGACTTGGTGCAAAGCTGCTCCCTCTGATGTATGATAGATTGTATCATTTTTAGGACTTATTTAAGAAGGGTTTCTCTCCAGTGTGACTCCGCTATTACAGTAACTTGGTAAACACGACTTGGTGCAAAGCTGCTCCCTCTGATGTATGATATATTGTATCATTTTTAGGACTTATTTAAGAAGGGTTTCTCTCCAGTGTGACTCCGCTATTACAGTAACTTGCTAAACACGACTTGGTGCAAAGCTGCTCCCTCTGATGTATGATATATTGTATCATTTTTAGGACTTATTTAAGAAGGGTTTCTCTCCAGTGTGACTCCGCTATTACAGTAACTTGGTAAACACGACTTGGTGCAAAGCTGCTCCCTCTGATGTATGATATATTGTATCATTTTTAGGACTTATTTAAGAAGGGTTTCTCTCCAGTGTGACTCCGCTATTACAGTAACTTGGTAAACACGACTTGGTGCAAAGCTGCTCCCTCTGATGTATGATATATTGTATCATTTTTAGGACTTATTTAAGAAGGGTTTCTCTCCAGTGTGACTCCGCTATTACAGTAACTTGGTAAACACGACTTGGTGCAAAGCTGCTCCCTCTGATGTATGATATATTGTATCATTTTTAGGACTTATTTAAGAAGGGTTTCTCTCCAGTGTGACTCCGCTATTACAGTAACTTGGTAAACACGACTTGGTGCAAAGCTGCTCCCTCTGATGTATGATAGATTGTATCATTTTTAGGACTTATTTAAGAAGGGTTTCTCTCCAGTGTGACTCCGCTATTACAGTAACTTGGTAAACATGACTTGGTGCAAAGCTGCTCCCTCTGATGTATGATAGATTGTATCATTTTTAGGACTTATTTAAGAAGGGTTTCTCTCCAGTGTGACTCCGCTATTACAGTAACTTGGTAAACATGACTTGGTGCAAAGCTGCTCCCTCTGATGTATGATAGATTGTATCATTTTTAGGACTTACGAAGGGTTTCTCTCCAGTGTGACTCCGCTATTACAGTAACTTGGTAAACATGACTTGGTGCAAAGCTGCTCCCTCTGATGTATGATAGATTGTATCATTTTTAGGACTTACTTAAGAAGGGTTTCTCTCCAGTGTGACTCCGCTATTACAGTAACTTGGTAAACATGACTTGGTGCAAAGCTGCTCCCTCTGATGTACGATATATTGTATCATTTTTAGGACTTACGAAGGGTTTCTCTCCAGTGTGACTCCGCTATTACAGTAACTTGGTAAACATGACTTGGTGCAAAGCTGCTCCCTCTGATGTATGATATATTGTATCATTTTTAGGACTTAGAAAGGGTTTCTCTCCGGTGTGACTATGCATTTCTACCATCTTGACTCTCTAACCCCACCACTTTCCTCCACCATTGTCTCCACTACAAACAACCTAATTACACCAGCCTGTGCTCATTATACCAGACTGTTCATTACTCCAGACTGCTCATTATACCAGCCTGTGCTCATTATACCAGACTGTGCTCATTATACTAGACTGTGCTCATTATACCAGACTGTTCAATACTCCAGCCTGTGCTCATTATACCAGACTGTGCTCATTATACCAGCCTGTGCTCATTATACCAGACTGTGCTCATTATACTAGACTGTGCTCATTATACCAGACTGTTCATTACTCCAGACTGTGCTCATTATACCAGCCTGTGCTCATTATACCAGACTGTGCTCATTATACTAGACTGTGCTCATTATACCAGACTGTTCATTACTCCAGCCTGTGCTCATTATACCAGCCTGTGCTCATTATACCAGACTGTGCTCATTATACTAGACTGTGCTCATTATACCAGACTGGGCTCATTATACTAGACTGTGCTCATTATACCAGCCTGGGCTCATTATACCAGACTGTGCTCATTATACTAGACTGTGCTCATTATACCAGACTGTGTTCATTGCTCCAGTGCTTATTATACCAGACTGTTCATTACTCCAGTGCTCATTATACCAGACTGTTCATTACTCCAGTGCTCATTATAAAAGACTGTTCATTACTCCAGTGCTCATTATACCAGCCTGGGCTCATTATATCAGACTGTTCATTACTCCAGTGCTCATTATAGCAGACTGTGCTCATTATACCAGACTGTTCATTACTCCAGTGCTCATTATACCAGACTGTTCATTACTCCAGTGCTCATTATACCAGACTGTTCATTACTCCAGTGCTCATTATACTAGACTGTGTTCATTACTCCAGTGCTCATTATACTAGACTGTGCTCATTATATCAGACTGTGCTCATTATACTAGACTGTGTTCATTATACCAGACTGCTCATTATACCAGACTGTGCTCATTATACCAGACTGTGCTCATTATACCAGACTGTGCTCATTATACCAGACTGTGCTCATTATACCAGACTGTGCTCATTATACCAGACTGTGCTCATTATACCAGACTGCTCATTATACCAGACTGTGCTCATTATACTAGACTGTGCTCATTATACCAGACTGTGTTCATTGCTCCAGTGCTTATTATACCAGACTGTTCATTACCCCAGTGCTCATTATACCAGACTGTGCTCATTATACGAGCTGTTACTCATTGCAACACAGTTTAACCCTTAACATGCTCGGGGTTTAATATCCTGTCATCCCCACAGGCGCATGTCATTTTGAAAAAAAAAAATGATTTTTTCTTCCTAACCTGTTAATTTGTGTTCACTGATCACGGGAAAAATAATAAAAAAATCGTAAGTGGCATATATTGTCCGCTATAGGGCGGGGAAGTCTGGCAAATTATAGGCGCTGACTCAGCGTGCGTCCCAGGCGGTCTGTTGCTCGCAAGCTGTCAGGCCAGAGTTGCCACAAAGAGATAATTACCGAATTATTTCAATGTCTCTGATTGATTTTTCATACTTTTTTTGCTGTAATATTATTCAATAGTGTGTAGTTTGATATATTTAGATAATAAAATGAGTGAATCATCGCTGTACTGAAAAATATGGTGTGCATATTGTTGATTCAATTATGTTCATCAATCAGTGAACAAATACTTTGTCGGTTATTACATTATAAGCACAGGTTATATATAAGTATCTGCATGTTTTGTTCACTATAACGAACCACTAAGTAGCTATTATGAGTCAAAAAGTAACGAGGAGTGACCGCCGTTTACCAGCCAGCCACTCCCGCCCTCCCTCCAGTCATCTGACTCGCCCACATTCTCCTCCCACAATAATGTTTTTGCTATAATTCACTATATACAGACGTTATATATAAGTATCTACATATTTTGTTCACCATAACTGTACATCTAAGATTGTATGGTGAGTAAAGGCGCAAAGATGTAGCTACTCACACAGTAGGCTGATCGGCGGCCGCCCTCAAGGCCAGACGCACTAATATTTCTCCTCCAACAATACTGTGTGGTGTTATTACGCTATATACACACATTATATATAAATATCTACCTGTTTTATTCACCATACTTGTACAAATAAACTGGTATGGTGCCCAAAGACCATCGTGGTAACCAGTAAACAACACCGTCGTCTGCACGGTGGCGTCGTGCAGACGATGCCACCTCCCTCACCAAAATGGCGGCTCCCAACCTACTCTTGCTGTTTATACCCTCTATACACACGTTATATATAAGTATCTACATTTGTGTTCACCATAGCGAACCACTAAGCTGGTATGCTGAGTGCAGTCAATAAAAGGTGGCCACACACAGTCAAAAGACATCGCCACCACCCTCCCTCGCACAGCATTACTCCTCCCTCCATGGCGCACAGCTAAATATCACCACAATCCTGCTATTATCAGAACCCTGGTCAGTTTTATCACAGTCAGGGGTCTTCTGTAATAATATCATCGCTACATAATAGCATGAACAAGTATAATTTGGCATTTTTAGGCGATGCTGTGGTCACAAGCTGAACAGCAGTGCTGTTAGCTCATGCTGCGTGCATCAGGCTTGGTTGCTCACTCAATACTGAGGCCAATAACACCCGGGAGTTTGGCCCACAATTTAAAAAAAAAATGGCGTCTGTTTACAAGAGCCCTGATGAAGGTGTGGTGAACCCCGTGTATCCGCGGGCTGTTTAAATCTTGCGTAGTACTCCAACACATCATATGACGTGATGCGCAGTTGACTGGAACAACGTCCAGCACGTCATATGGCGTGATGCGCACTTTAAGGGTTAATCAGTGTATCCCATCACCCTCTACCATAGTGTGTGTGTCCTGAGGTGCTCTGCCTGGAGGTACATTTCTTGATGACTATATGTGATTGAACTGTATCTAGTTTAATGTTTTAGGTTTACTGTAACCGTATCTAACGTATATTTTTTGTTTACCGCAGGTTACATTGCAGCTGACATCAAGGGAACGGGGTCTCTAACGCAGATGCTTCTTATAACAGACTACCACCAGCTGGGTTCTCTTCACGACTACCTTCAGAATACCACCCTAAACTATTTTACCATGATTCGCCTCTCCTTGTCTACTTCTTGTGGCATATCACACTTACACACGGAAATTTTTGGAACTAAAGGGAAACCAGCCATTGCTCACAGAGACATCAAGAGTAAAAATATCCTAGTTAAAAGAAATGGAGAGTGTTGTATTGCTGACTTTGGCCTAGCAGTTAAATATGTCAGGTAAGAAGACAGTGCCTGCTTTTTGCTCTCAATTTATATTGTAAAATATTTTAAGTTTGCTAAATTGCATAGTCGTTGGCAAACTATCAATGGGACGTGTATTTTAACCCCTGCACTGTGCATAGGTTATATTGTTAAGATTCAAAACTCAACACATACATGGGGCTCGTATTGGCTTCCTCAAGCCTCCAGTAACCTTGCTCTGTCTTGAAAAAACAATTCCAGCTAAACCACAAGAGGTTTTGAGACTTTTTACTTGAATTGTTCTGCTTCCTGGATGCTAATTAACAATGTTAAAAGAAAACAATTTTTTCAAATTTTTTACTTTTTTTTTTGTAGAGTACAAGGGTTAAAAAGTTGTGTGTTACCATCATTCAGTGTTTATCATAGGCTGCTCATCCACAGGATTAAGGTATAATAATAATCAAGATAAATTATCACTTAATAATAATATCTGATCCAAGCAATGGGATTGTGTTAATAAATTTTAAGCTTAATATGGAATAAATTCCTTTAAATTAAGCACTCATATTCTTTGTAGTCAGAATATTAGTTGTTAAAATACATAGTGCAGTACTGTATTATATATATAATACTGTAAGGCATTTTTCTCAACTGAAAATGATGGATATTATGATTTTGTCTACCTTAATTTTGTGTATTGTATGTATTCACCTAGTTGTATACACCTAGTTGTGCTTGCGGGGGTGGAGCTCTGCTCTTTCGGCCCGCGCCTCAACTGTTACTAACTACTAGTTTAGTTTAGTTCATTTATTATGCACCCCATACCCATCTTGTGGGCAGTAGTGGAAAGGGTTACAGAGGCATATAATGGGCTCAGGGACTGAACCCCTCAATTCATTTAGCTACGCAAGTTACAATCTTGATTAGCTAGTTACAAAATTCAATATAAATCGTCACATCAACAATGGGTTCAAGATCGACCTCAAGTACAGGTTCTAAATTAAGCAACTGACATATGTGGAGAGCTAGTGTCACAGTTTATGTTTGTCCTGCACACCGCCCCCCATCCAGTGGGCAGCGGTGGATAGGTTACAATCACTCGGTTACTGCCTACAGTTAGCAAACTGGGGATATTTGGCTAAAATTTCTGGTAGCAGATCATTTTGAATGAAATATTTACACATCGCTGGAACATTGGTTATAGAATTGTCTCTAAATTCACGTGTCTTTTCGCACTCCATCACGTAGTGACGGAGGGGTGTGCGAATTAATTTATTTTATTTTCTGGGGGGAGCCCCATCGGCTCCCTGGAGCTATCCAGGCTGAATGTATATCTATATCTTTCTGGCATCAGTCAATGCATAGAGTTCTTGCCTATAGGGGACCACTAGCCAGAACCTTGCCCCTCTAGAGAGGCACGAGGAGCAATGGCCTATAGATCCCCCCTGTGGTTGGGAGCATTCTATGTCTGCCATCGACCGGGACAGGCACCCAGAAAGGTAGGCGCCCCAAAACAAATCCCTATTCTGGTAAAAGTATTGCGACCGAAAGCCGAACAGGTGGACAGAATTCCATCAAACGAAAATTAGCAAACTAGCATGATGTCATCACGAGTCTCTCTCCTGGTTGGCAGACTCAGGAGGCAGACGCCTCCTGAGCTATCCTGGTCTTTGGACCGAGTGCTCTCGTTTCTCTCTTCTCCTTGGTTTGTTCTGGCCCCTTCCGTTCGGGATTGTTTTTCTAAACCCCATTTCCTGTTCGCATTGGCCTTTGGGGGTCGGGAGCTTCATGCTCTTCTCCGGCGCAGGGGTTTCTGCTCCTTCGGTCCTGGTGGTCGTTTTGTTCGGTTGCAGCCGTCTCCTCCTTTTCTGGCGAAGAATGAATCGGCTGCATTTCGGAGGAGGCCTTGGATTGTTGATGCTTGGTTGATCAGGCCGGGGGTGCATCACGTGTTGTGTCCGGAACACATGATATTCTGGACATGCTCTCCGCCGTTATTTGCGCGCCATGGCTTCGGTGGCCTGGGATGCGCTTTGGGTTGATCAGGTTTCCTTTCTTCCCTGTTCCCGGGTTCGGGTCTCTCAAGTTGTCCGCAGGGTAATTAACACTTTCCCGCTTTGGTGACCTCAGCGTCGTCACCAATTTTTCTACTGACTACGCTGGCGTGCCGCGCTCAAGAGTCATGAGAAAAAATATTTGTATAAGTTTCATTTATTATCCGATCTACTTGGGGATAGTTTTGAAAAGTTTGCCATGAAATTTACTTTTTCTCTAATAGCCGAACAGCTTATTAAAGAGAATGGCGTGGCAGTGAATCATCGTGGTAAAACAATTGTATTATTGACATGACGAGTATAATCGACGTAGTTTTTATATATGTTGCCGGTCGAACGCATCCTTATGTGACCTTTTATACTTATGTTCTTCTAGAACATTCTATTGCGAACACATTGGTGCAAAAATGAAATACGTACATCGAAAAATAATGTCAGGACAGTGAATTGAAAATACACTTTTCAATGCAGGTTTCGCCGATGTGTCACCACGGGTAACACTTTGGCCACTTCCCACACTGTTTTGGGTGGGCTACGACATTGAATCTATATTTATATGCATATGTCCGTGTAGAGAATTTTATTGCGATTTCAGTGATACCAAAATTAACGCTGTAGCACAACTGTGGGCTTCACAACCATGAAGAGAGTAGAAACATTTTGTTGGTGTTTGACGCTCTCGGCTAGTGATCTCAGTAGTTCTTTATTTGGTGTTGATATACCTTATGTTTTCGAGGCATTTTATAGGTACGTTCTTACAGACAATTCTATGGCGAGCACAGTGACACAAAAATTAAATACGTACGCCAACAATTGGTGTCAGGACAGTCAAAAGAGTATACACTTTTCTGTCTTGCCGCGTAAGTGCTCGAAACGCCGAAAGCATCTAGGTATGGCTTTTTTTCAATAGGCCGGTAGTGGCAAAGTGTTAAGTCTGGCCTGCCTGCAATTTATCCCATGCCCATGACGTGCGTAAGTTTGCTGCTTTGGCTGTTAATCTTTGGCAACATGTCTTGGGTTGACATTCGGGCACAGGGTTTTTGGAGGTAGAACAGGGTCCTGGCTGCTCACTACCTGGTGAATATTCCGGGGCCAGGTAGGGCCTGCATTGCCTTGGGTCAGCGGTTGCAGCCAGATGTCTCAACTTCATGTTGAGTGAGGACGAACCGCCTCCCGGGTAAGTCCCTGTTTTTCCTTATCTTTGGATAGTTAGCTCCGGGGAGCCGATGGGACTTCCCCCAGAAAACCAGCATTGAATGTAATGAAACACCATTTTCTGGGGGAGTCCCGGAGGCTCCCCGGCATCCCTCCCTCCCTCCGGTTGGCGGTGTTTTTCACGCTTTTTGACATCCAGCCTAAGAACTCTAGGTTGGGTCTCCGGTGGATGGGTCTGGGGCTCCCCATTCCCCCTCTCAGGGAGTGGGTGGGGGGTTGTGCAGACAGCGGCACGGCGACATGATGATGTCGTGCTAGTTTGCTAATTTTCGTTTGGGGGAGTTCTGTTCACCTGTTCGGTTTTCAGTCGCAATACTTTTACCAGAATAGGGGTTTGTTTTGGGGCGCCTACCTTTCCGGGTGCCTGTCCCGGTTGATGGCAGATATAGAATGCTCCCAACTACAGTGGTCTGTATAGGCCATTGCTCCTCGTGCCCCTCTAGAGGGGGCCAGGTTCTGGCTCGTGGTCCCCAGTAGGCAAGAACTCCATGCACTGACTGATGCCAGAAAGATATACACATCCATTCAGCCTGGATAGCTCCAGGAAGCTTCCGGGACTCACCCAGAAAATGGTGTTTCATTACATTCAACGCTGTTTACCCCCCCCCCCCCCCACAGGAACCAGTCTGTAACAGCTGTCTACCTCCCAGGTACCTATTTACTGCTAAATAACAGGGGCATCAGGGTGAAAGAAACTGCCCATTTTTGTTTCTTGCCGGTGCCGGGAATTGAACTCTGGCTTCAAAATTACATGTCCAGGTGCTACCCACACAGCCACCGGTGCCGCAATGTGTTTACCTAATTATGCCTATGGGGAGGGAGACAGCTCCCGAGTCTTGCCTCATAACTATTGTACCTGTTGTGTGTGTATATACCTCTCATAGTTCATGTACTCTGTTGACATTACTTTTAAGGCTATAAATGGAGGTGGCTTCTATAACCTCTACTTCAAGCTCATTCCACTTAAAACACCTCTCTCTCTCTCATTTGCTTCGATGTTCCACCTGCCACTCATTCTGTTTCCCTCATCTGAAAAAGGTGGTCTTCCCATCATGTTTAACCCCCCTTGGTATCATGTATGTTGTGATCATATCTCCTATGGTTATCTTGAGGTCATCTTGAGATGATTTCGGGGCTTAGTGTCCCCGTGGCCCGGTTCTCGACCAGGCTGTCTTTTTGTTACACACCCCCAGGAAGCAGTCCGTAGCAGCTGTCTAACTCCCAGGTACCTATTTACTGCTAGGTGATGTGTGGCCACGTCTGTGGTAGAAAAAAAAAAAAAAAAAACCTGCTAGGTGAACAGGTGCATCAGGGTGAAAGAAACTGTCCATTTGTTTCAGCTTCCACCGGGGATCGAACCCGGAACCTCAGGACTTCGAATCCCGAGCACTGTCCACTCAGCTGTCAGGCCCCTGACATGGTGTTTATAGAGTTACTTCCATTGACCTATTTCTCAGCTAAACTTTTACATTTGTCATCAGTCTTAGAGCAGATCTGATCTTTATATTTTTGTTGTGTTTCACATGGTGGGGATTCCATGTTGATACATGTTTAACCCTCAAATGGCGCATGGCTATATACCATTTGACACCCACAGGCGCACACCAAACAAAAAAAAAAATCTTTTTTCTTCCTAACCTGTTAATTTGTGTTCACTGATCATGGGAAAAATAATAAAAAAATCGTAAGTGGCATATATTGCCCGCTATAGGGCGGGGAAGTCTGGCAAAAAACAGGAGCTGACTCAGCGTGCGTCCCAGACGGTCT